TGGTGGCATTTATGTGTTTGTACAACAGCTTGGGATTTGATGTGAACTTGCGCATGAGCATTCCTTGGTGTATTAACTTGTCTTCTCGCGCCAACTTGGTACAGTGGTTTCGGAGTTGACAGTAGATATACCATGTGTTGTAGCAAGGAGATCGTTTACAAGCTCTCCATGAGATATTCCTCTATGAAATCCACTTTTCTGTCCGACTTCGAATTGCTGATCTTTGACCAGTTGAGTAGGTGATGCGTTTGGTCTTCGTCGCGCCTTTCACCATTTCCGTCAGGTGGTTTGTAAATTCTTCCCAGGATACCAGGGGATCACACTGTTCGTTGGGAAATTTCCATTGGAAATCTCTCGCCAAAATTTGAAGTTTAGTGTAGTCAACAAACATACAGGAGCTAACCGTAGAATTATGCGGTACGGAAGCATAGTAAATGTAGTCAAACGTCAGTACAACATGATCACTGCGCCCTAATGGAGTTGCAGTGGAAATCGTTTTCACCATCAGTTCCTCGTTAGCTAACACCAGGTCCAGAAATGATGGTGACTGGTTGGCTCCAAACCTCGTATGCTCCTTCACAAAATTGTAAAGTGGATAGGATTCCATGAGCTGTGCAAGTTTCCTCTCGAACGGTTGTAGAGAGGTCGCTGATTTAACTAGGTTAGGGCAATTGAAGTCTCCCATAATGAGAACATGTGTGAACTTCAGTGACAGTATGTGATACATGGTTTGCAATGGTGTCTCATTGGCTGAGTCTGTCGATGAGGGGGAGCGGTATACCACACCGATCAAGCGGATATCGCGCTGCGACAGGTGCACTTTGCACCATAGTGAGTCAGAGACCGCAGCAGGATAATCAATTACTTCGCATTGTAGTTTTCTGCTAAAGTAGAGTAACACCCCATCACCCCTTGCAGGTCGATCGCGTCTGGGCAGAGTCATGCCGGGTAAGCTTAACTCTGAGTCCAGAATGTCCGGTGTCAGCCAGGTTTCGGTGACTGCAATAATGTCCCATTGACCACTTTGGCAACGCAGTTCTACCTCTGAAAATTTGCTGAGGAAACCTTGGGAGTTAGTGTAGAAACAATGCAGTTGGTGGCGGAGCAGAAACTCGTCGGGAAGCAGGGGGTTAGTTGAGCCGACCGTATCGTGGTCGGCTAAGGGAAGTTTTTTGGGAGAATAGTTTTCTGGAACAGATCTGCCAGTTTCGGGAAGGAACACAAAGTCTGTCGGAACGCAGTTTGTATGGAGGTGATATTTTCTGCCTGTGAAACACTTTTGGTCCCTGTGTTGTGCATGGGTCTCAACCTCAGCTCTGATGGTCCCTTGATCTTGTTGTCGTACCAAGATTGCAAGACAGTCGTAGCCATTTCTGATGTGCCTAGGGTTCTTTTCAGAATTCTCGGGTCGTCTCTGCGGTAGTTAGGAGAACAGGGGAGACGGCTAACTGCTGAAGTCGTGATCTGGCGACATCCGATGAGATCTTGAATGAACCGCCACTCTTTACAATCATTTTGCTGGCATTTGATGCCTCTGGATCATTTGATTGTGGGAATCCGTGTATAAGAATCACCCGGGCATTGTCCGTTTCCCGTGCGCTGTCCGGGTTATTTCGTTGGCGCGCGCGCACGCTCCATGGTCTGTCTGGTAGAATCCTTATTTTATTTGAACTTCCTCGAAGGAGAAAGCTGGACAGAAGAACATTTTCTACGTCTGATTCGCTACATAGTGTCACGCAGATTAACCGGGGTTCTCCAGCGTGAGGTGAATTAGGCTGTCGCCGAAGGCGCGTGATCTGATCGTTGATGTTGATTGGACTTGTTCCATTCCACCGGAGATCTTAGATGGAAGCGAAAGCTGGTTGTAGGTTTCAACCCGCTAATGGAATCAAAGGTCGCGCAGGGATAAGAACACAATGATGATGCTCTAGTGAATGTTTGAGAATAAGGGTTTGATTGTTACATCCAATAGTGCGCAAAATCCTTCGTGATCTTCGCGAGTCTGGTTTTCATGCGTTTTTTGCAATCTGTGAAGAATAGCTGTCCCTAACAACTTTTGCACAATTGCGATGGGGCTTATATCCCTGGGGTTCGAGCGGTCATTTTACCTGCCCCCCGTAATGATGAGGTAAACAGTCGATTCCCTCAACCAGAAGAGGACTTACTCGAAGAACAGAGATTGAAATTTTCTAACAAGCTTTATCCCACCATCTTTAAATAGAGCTTTTGGAAGGCTATCGAAACCCTGAACTTTGTGACTTTCTATGGCTCAGGTATCCTTGTGATCTTTTGAAACGTACAATGGGACGTCTTCCAGCGTAGTAGTGACCAAGAGGGACACTTCGCCAACTAAACGGTGTCCTGAAATTCTTCTACTAGCGTGCATGACGTTATTCGTTTGTGAATAGACGAGCCGTCAGTTTTACAGAGCGTTTTGCTTGTATCTACCGTTCCTAACCGTAGCCGGATTGGAATAGAACAGCTTACGGGAAATACTCACTGACCGGCATGCATCTAGACCGCAGAAATACTCAGCGGAACTTCATAGTGATGCACCATGACGTATCGAACCAAAACTCAATGAACTAGCAGAATGCGGAGTATTCTTGATAAGCGCCCAGTGCTGATCGATGTTCTCAAGTGAAATTTTTTCAAGATTTTGAGCTAGCTCGTTATGAAAGGCGGTTCGGCGAGCTGGTTAGGATAGCTTGTCGTAGTCTGTATTTTTCGAACTGCACCTTCAAAGTGTAAAGTGTGGTTGCAAGATTGGTTTAGCCCAGTCCTCAATTTCATTCTCACTGGGGAAGTGATGGAGGAAGAAGATAGATTTTGTTATCGAGGCAGCTGTATCTCACCTGGCGGACTCGTCGCAGATGAAGTGTTTACTCGGATATTCAAGGCCTCCCTGGCGTTTGCTTATCTGAGGCACCTACGACGCCGTCGCGATATCCACCTGTCTGTGAACGGTTTATCGGTGCACGGATATCACTATCTATCCTGCATGGTAAATGTCTGGTGGGGCAGCCGGACAAGCGATGATTTTAAGCAATTGCGGAGTAACGTCTTAACTCACACAGTCAACAATGACTGGATATGTGTTATGCATGCCAGCAGACTGGCTTCCTCGACGTGCGATGTTTGCCGAGTAACGTAGTGGCGAAGGAACGAAAGCTATGGATTGTCAAAGTAAAACTTGGCGCGAAGTTATGAAAACCTTGATTGGAAGGCTTAGATGTGTAGGTCCCGTCAGGCTTCTTAAATAGAGACTTCGGGATCTCTGGGCGCAGCGGTTAGAGACTCGGATGATATGACTGACTGTGCTGAACAGTGGTGCTTGTGCGTGTACTCCGTCTCTTTATTTTGGCTTTTCTTTTTACCTTTTTGTTGTTCTGTGGTTGCTACTGCTTCCCTCTAATCCTGCATCCAAATGGACAACCAAATGACGTCAACCAAAGCCACCCCACCGAATCGTAAGGTTAATGGCTGCATGAACTGAACTGAACCCATCCTATGAGTACCTGATGTCTCCGTCTTTTCCTTTTATTGTTTTATCAAATTATTCTGGCGTTCTCTTTCGTAGTATACGTATGAGCATTATGCGGGTCTCGTTTCACTTACTGTCTGAGAACAAAGGTACTTCCGATTCCATTAAGACGGAATACTGCTCTGCTTTACACAATCTCCTTTTCGCAATCTTCCCCCACTTGCTCAGTAGAATTCAAATCTGTTGAGTGTGCTGACCGTGACATCATTTATGTTGAGTTCACAACTCTTCTCACCACTTATGACACGCTTTGAATCGTTCACCACAGCCAACCAAAATGCACTTTCGGTTTTCCGTACGAAGAATGTGCGACCTCACCATAGGTTCAGTTAGCATGTTTTCTCGCATCAATCAGTGCGTGGGACATTGTCGGGGAAACAAGCGAAGTAACTGCTGCAAGAGGTAATCTTTGTGCTGCTTTTTCGGCTGTAATCAATCGAAATGGACTTAAACTTTTGCTTTTCGTGTATGAATCAATTTCTTTGCTGGTTTGATTTAAAAGGTTGTTGATAAAAAGACGGTACACTTTTGGATGGCGTTTTTGTTGACCCGTACGTCCTCTCGCTAGTCTCATTCGGTCCCGGCGACCCATTTGTGTCTGTTTTCATTCCCATGAACCGGGTCCTGGACTGTTTCGTTTTTCCGGAACACGCGTCTCATTCAACGCAGTACTGCAAAAATGAGTCCGTTGAACATTGGACTGGCGAAAGTTTGTCAAATCGCGTCGACATGCACATTCGATGCGTGATAAACTGTCATCGCGGGTGGGCTCATACTGGTGGACACCAAACTACGGGGTCTACTTTAAAACGTGATTTGACTTTACATTAGATTCCAACGCGACATCTGAAATAATGATGTTGGGCTTTATAGTTGCAAGGTTAGGGGGTAGTCCAAGATGAATTACTGTTTTAGGTTTCAAAAATGTGAAACATACATTCACAACTCTTACAATAAAATGACGATTCCATGATTGAAGGCAACTTGCAAGTTACCCAAATCAGCTGCATGATATCGTCCATAAGTTGCTATTGAAGATTTCTTTCGAAGCTTATCCCTATCAAGAATTCTGAGTCACCTTTTCCAGCATGGATACGTTCAAGAACGAATATTTGGGAACTGTCAATGTCTAAGAAATTATGTTCAATGTGCTGCTAGAACTGAACACATTATTTTGGGTCCAGATAGATGTGTGCGTATCATGAACCATCCTAACTTTTGTTTCCCGCTCCACCTATAACAGGACATGTTCGAATTTCCGATCTCGGTTTGGCTGTGGAGATTCCGCCCGGTGGTTCGGTCAAGGGACGTGTGGGCACAGCTGGCTACATGGGTAAGTGTTTCCGATCAGTTCAGTTTCAGTTCATGCAATCGATCAGTGCTTTTTCTGGTCTATAGTTTTCGGAAAAATTGATGATAATGATGGTGGCGGCATTGTAGGGACAGTCGATGTTTACGATTTCTTCGCTTCAGTTCTAGGTCTAGAAAGCGATGACCTTGTATACTCCATTACTGATTTACTGCATTGCATCTAGTCGCCAGGATTCATTCCATTATCTTTGAGGAAATCGCTGATCGTTCCAGTACTTTGGAAAGGGTCTCACAGTGATCGCATCAACCACCGCGGGATCAGTTGGATTTCAATCGGTACTAATCGAACTGCTTCCCTCATACTTCATTGTCCGACGCTCTTACAGGAGAGAAATTTCCGTGAACGGCAAGCAGGTATCGATTGTTTCGACCAAATCTTCCCGTTGCATTAGGTCCTTCAATTTCTACACACACATCGTTGATCAACAATCGCAATATTCCTTGATCTTAAAGGATACTTTGACTCAGTTGACCGCGAAACCTTTATAGGTTTGAAAAGAAATGTCACTGAAGTGTATTAATACATTGATTTCACCACAGTCGCATACTTCCGGTATATTTCAGACTTTTCTGGATAGTTTGGATGCGAGTGTATCCATGCTCGGGATGCGTTTTGCACCTTCGAAGTGTAAAATGTTGCTACAAGATTGGATTAGCTCGATCCCCGATTTCATACTGACTGAAGGAATAGAAGAGTAAGTAGAGAATTTTTACAATTTTGGCAGGTATATCTCACCTGGCGGACGCATCACGGATGCAGGGTGGGCGTGCATACAGAAGGATCGATTGGCATTTACTAACCTAAGACATCTGGGGCGACATCGTGACATCCGATTATCAGTTTTAGTTTCAGTTTCTACAACCATTAACCATTCACTATCGTGCGCTGGTTTTGGTTGCTGTCTTTTGGCAGCCCATTTGGATGAACATTGTGAAAAAGACAGGAAAGGTTGGAAGTAGAATCGAAGAGAACATTTAGGATTTCATTGCACTAATTTTGCAG